GGGGGGGGGGGGGGGGGGCGGTGGAGGGGACGGGGAAGGAGGGAGGGAAGGAAGAATTTGGTCAGGTTTGTTTCCAGGAGATACATGAAATGGAGGATAAAGATCTGCCAGGAAGGGGGGAAGGTGGAGAGAAGATGCCTGTTGTGCATTTCTTTAAAGCCAGTTTGCTGCCCAACCTCTGGAGGCCAGCCCCCCCTCCAACCATTGCACCTCCCTCCCGTCTCTCAGCCCTGGGTGGCCTTCACGTTTTTCACAGATGGCTGTTTCTACTCACTCGAGTGCTTGACCTAAATCCCTCCTCTCCTTCTTCAGCGGCGCTGCAAATGTCTTAGCTGTGTAGCTCAAGGCATGGCAAAGCTAAAATTAAAAAGGAGGAGGAGGAGGAGGAGGAAGAGGTGAAGGAGGACAGCATGACAACAGGATGTTGGCTGGCCCCTGAGAACCCCCCTCCCTGCGTGAGACTCAAAGAGAGAGGCGGCTGGGTCTCAGGCATTCTTCCTTGTGCAAAGCACACCCTGTCATCGGCTGAGCGCCACCCTCGGAAAACTGGGCGACCGCATATCCGGCCCCAACTTTCCCAATAGCCCTCTCTGCTCCCTCCCCACCTGGGTCCTCTTCCCTACCTCCCTGCAACCTCGCAGGAAGTTCCAACAGCTCTAAAGTTTTGTCGGTGACTCAGCGGCTGGCGGCTTCAGCCAAAAGTGACAAGCTGGCGCGCACGCGCACACACACACCCCTACCTCAAGGGAAATGGAAAGAGGCCTTCGGCCCTCAATCACAGATGGGGTGGGTGGTGCAGGAAGTCTGGACGATAGCCAGGCTCAAGTTACAAGGCATGTCTCAGAGTGAATGGCGGGAGGGGGCTGTGCAGGGCAAAGGCAGACTCTAACAATGTATTTATGCATCGCTTTCCGAAGGCTCCAAGGGCTTCCCGTACAGACCTTAGGGTCACATTTACAACAACCCTGGAAGGTAGGCAAGCCAGAATCCACCCCCTTTTACAAAGTGTGGCAGCGATGCTTACAGAGAGCTGCCAACTTGAGAGCACCAACGAAGTCTGAACTTCTAACTTCTCAATCTTCTACCTTCCCCAACAACCTTCTTCCAAGCCGGTGCGAGAACCCTCCGAAGCACTCTGTCCTGAGCAAGAACAGGACACAAACACTCAAGTGCACCTCCACAAAGGGGAGGGGGCGGCGGCATGGGAACTCCCCTGAAGTCCTTGAACTTCCTCGCAGAAGACAAAGAGCTCCTTCTTAAGAGAGAGGAATGAGGACCCCACCGCCGCGCCAAGCCACCCCACCCCACCCACGGGTGGCTTGGGCAAGGG